TTGTGTTCCTACAGGTAAATAGTAAAGTAGAAGAGAAATTGAGAAAAACATTCCAAAAAGAAATACCTAAAAAAACTTAACCAAGGAGATAAAAGACCTGTAGAATGAAAACTATGAGATATTGCTAAATGAAGTAGACAAAAAGAAACATGGGCTAGAAGAAATGGCCATTGTTAAAATGGCCATTTAACTCAAAGCAATGTAAAGTCAATCCTAATCCTGGCAATGTTTCAATGACATTCATCAAAGAAGTAGAAGAAACATTATTGAAATTTATATGGAACTACAAAAGATGGCTGAATAGCAAAAGCTATTCCAACTCAAAAAAAAAAAAAAAAATGGAGGCATCCCATCACATCTCAGACTTCAAAGTACATTACAAAGCTATTGTAATTAAAGTAGTATGTTATTGGAATACAGAACCAATGGAACAGAATTAAGATTCCAGAAATAAACCCACACTTACATGGTAAGTTAATCTATGACAAAAGAGCCAGGAGTAAACTGTGGAGAAAGTATCAACAAATGGTATTGGAAAACTGGACAGCTACAGGGCTAATATTCAACATTTACAAAGAACTCATACAACCCAACAAAAGGAAAAATGCAAATCCAACCAAAAATGACAGGATTGCTAATCAAACACTTCTCCAAAGATGTACATTTAGTTAACAGGCATATGAAAAAATGCTCATCATCACCTACCAGGGAAAAGCAAATCAAAACCATAATGAGGTACAGCTTCATACCTGTGAAAATGACCCATCTCCCAAAGACCAGAACCAATAAATGTTGCATTTGGAGAAAATAGGACCTTATTGGGCCTCCCCTGGTGGTGCAGCAGTTGAGCGCTGGGCTGCAAGGCTGCCCGCAGCCTCCGCAGCACCGGTTCGTTCCCTGGCCGCTCGTGAGGGTCCCACAAAAAAAAAAAAAAATAGGACCTTATTTTCTATGACCCCACTGATTAAGAAAAAATATAGCATTATGAGTATTTGGTGTTTATGGGCATGTTCTTTGGAATTTATTCTGCCTTTATAATTATGTCACATATTTGCACTGTGCTGCTGATGCTTTTTATTATTAAGAAAGAAACACATTATCTTCAATGACTTACTGCATCAGACTTTTAAGGCAAAAGAGTAACAATTACATTTGTTTCAAAATATTGAAACAATATAGTAAATGAAATTAAGCATTACCTAAAAATATAAATATTGAACTTATAAAAATTTTGCAAAACCTATCATTTTGTAACAGAAAATTACAGTGAAATCTCTGTGTTTAATGTTAATTCTTTGAGAGTTTATCACACTAAATACTGATATATTTGTGTATATCCTTTTTATCTTTCAATGTTATTTTGTAAAGTAATAAAAAACTTATAAATAACTTTTAAGTAATAATGAAGATTCATACTGCTTTTACCCATCGGAAATAAAATAGGCTGTATTTATGTTAGACACTATTAAACCAAAAATCAAAAACTCTGCTTAATTAGTGCTATATACATACATCCAAAGCAAACTTTAGCATTACAAATAAAAATTCCTTCTAAAGATGACTGTTTTATTTACAGTTGTATTTTTATCAACACAAAATATTTAGAAAATACTTTACCTTATTATCTCCCTATTGCCTCTGGTAGTTTAAATTATATGCAGATGTCCAATAACCCATTACACTGAAAAAGGATAGCTACATATATTTCAACAGACAAAACCAGTTTATTCATACAAACATTTTTACTTAGTTTTTGAGGCTATCCTGACCTGATCATGGCTCTAGAAATCATAAGAAAAACAGCCTGTTTCCCAAGGTTGGTAGGAGGTAACCTCTGGCCAATTCCCTATCACTAGAAGATGTTGAAGTTTTGACCAATCACTGTAAAGCATAAACAGCCTCTGCCTCCCCACTACACAAGCTGCTTTGTCACAACGTTCTCCTGAGCATCACTCTGTGTTTGGAGGACTCCCGGTTTGCAAACTGTCTTTTTTGGTGCATGAACTTTTACTAATTACTATTCTGGTGATTAACTTGGTGAATGTTTGACACAACATTTAAGTCTAGCAATCTTGCTCAACTAAACTTTAAACTGCTGTGTTTTAAAGGCATTTTCCTTTTCTCTGCAGAACCAAGATAACAACAGACAGCTGCAACAAGCCTGATTAAGGATTCACCTACTATAACTAACTTGTCCGTGGGGGAAGTCTTTGTAAACACTCATTCCGCACCCTAAGTTTTGGGGGTTACAACCAGTGTGGTCTGAAGACACTCTGAAATCTCATAAAAAGCACTTAGGAAAAAATCTAGAGAAACTCAAGCACAGCAAATCTCTGTGGCCTAGATGGCCACAGAAGAGGACTAAGAGGGAATGAACTATGAAACTGCAGGCCGCATAGAAAGAACATGTAAATACAGCAGAGGGAACCAAGGAGATGGGCTTTTCTGGCTCTGCCATAAAGCAGCACCATCACCCTTTTGACTGTCAGTGCTTAAACTGTATCATTTGGTTGTAGAGTCACAATTCGGCTTGTTCACGGAAATACTTAGAAACACTTACGTTTTCAGTTGTCTGTATTCATTTGTGTCCACGGCAATGAGGGGATGCATGGTCCACTATCTCCTGAAAGGTCTTTCTCCCTGCTCTCAGAAGACATTCAAAAGCAGGGCCAGAGACGTGAGCACCAGCTTTGGCGGCGGCACCCTGTTTTCCTGCTGCCCAAAAGCCTTCCCAAGAGCCCTTTGATATTCACCTCGCTGAGTCCCAGCTGGCACCACTCTGCAGCTTTCTGTCACCCAGGAACACGTGTGGGTGTTACGAAAGGGATTCTGGGTCGAGGAAAGAGGCCCTGGTAAATGGGAAGTAGCAGCAGAGTCACAGAAGCTTACTACTGGTATAGCCAGGCAGCTCAGGAGGAATTTCATCAACTGTCAAATTCTTGTGAGGAGAGGTCTGTGACCTTGTGACTCTTCCCCAGAAGGCTTTCCCCCCAATATCAAAGGCAATCCTCATATGACAAACTTGTTTTCTCTTCAGGGGAGAGAGATGTAAGATGTTTACTTTAGGGAGTCTTTATACAGGTGAGGGTAGTTGTAGGAAAACCACAAGTAACTCAGAAACTCACAACTAGTAACACCTGAGTGGCTGGTTTTACCTTTTGGAGGGTAAACAAAGAAGCAAATGAAAATGTTAAACATAACAAAAATAACCCTTAGATTTTGACAATAATTTTTTTCTAGCCCTGAAGGGGAAAGAAGAAGAGATGCTTACTGAAATTCATTTGCTTTGTTTCTTTATCTTACATATACAAATGAAATAATATGGTATTTATTCTCTGTCTTATTCACTTAGCATATTACCATGAAGGTCCATTCATGTTGTTGCAAATGGTAACATCTCATCTTTTTATAGCTGAGTAATATTTCATTGTGTATAAATGTGTGTGTATATTGCTATAGATATAGCGATAGCTAACTAGCTAGCTAGCTAGCTAGACAGATACAAAGACCAGAAACAAATGTTGAGGGGACATGGAAAAAAGGGAACCCTTAGACACTGTTGTTGGGAATGTAAATTTGTTTTAACCACAATGGAAAAAATTATGGAGATTTCTCAAAAAGTTAAGAATAGAATTACCATATGATCCATCTAGTCCATTTTTGGCATTTATCTAAACAATATGAAAACACTAATTAGAAAAATATATGCACCCCTATGTTCATTGAAGCACTATTTATAATAGCTAAGATAGCAAAACAACCTAAGTGCCCATAAATATATGACTGGATAAATAAGATATGGGAGGCATATATCTATATATCCATAGATATACAGTCTGGGTAAACATAGTCAAATGTTAACTTCAAACTTATTTAATATAGACAATTTAATCCAAAGAACAGTGAACAGCAATAGTCATGAAACCAGACAGGCAGAAAAATATTTGACCTTTAATTGTAAATATATCACTAATTATTAATATGATTAACTTATTGAATATTTTCACCTGTGTGCCATTGTAGATAACATAATATTCTTAACAATGAGTTAAGATCACAGACAGTTGAAATGATCACAGACAGTTGAAAAGCATTTATCAAAAACTTTTTTTAAGATTTATTTATTTATACATACAAGAGCTGGGGTACAGGCCAGAGATGTGGGGGGGGTGAGAAGATTCACTAGAGACAGAGTGGGGAACAGAACAGGCAGACTGACTGAAATACACTGCTGAGGGGAAGAGCAGGCGAGTCAGGAGAGGTCTGCTTTGCCATGTGGGTTGCTCCCTGGCCAGCCGGGGATCAAACTCGTGCTGCAGAGGCTGCTATTGCTTCATAGTGCGGTGCTTAACCCCTTGTGCCACTAGGGAGGCCCATTTATCAAAAACCTAACTGAAATCTTTTCCCAATTTTTTTTTACTACAAATTATACTCTGCTGTCAAATAACACCAAAAATAATATAGAGAATATCAACTGATGTTGCTATATTATTGCAAAAATTCATAATAATTAGGATAAAAATTAAATTCTCAAGTAAGTCACTGAAATGCACAATGGCTTAAATGTAGATGCTTTACATATTTATGGGTATAAGATAAAGATATGTTAATATAGCAAAATTCAACTTTATTCAAATTATAGAAGTCCAAATATATCACTTCTGACTTTTAAGACAGATAATCTAATCAAATACTTAGAGGAACTTAAAGTCAATGCTAATGATGTAGCTATTGATTTGAAAATGGATATATAAAAACAAATGTACTTGGTATTTTTTTATTAGCATTTTCCTTTTGGCAAGTTAATGGGAATTTATCAAATTGATTACAACAAGCCCTGCTAACAATATTAATTCATATTATGATGTAACTAATTACCATTATATGGATTCAAAGTCATCAAGAAATAGATCATGCAGACTGTAACTTGGAATAACAGTTTTTGCCTTCAAGGGATAATTTAATTCTGTACCAGTGCAGTAAAAGTTATCACTGTTTATTAGCGCTTGACTTTTTTCTTCAGAATAAAGCCAACATCATGCCATATTACTATACCTTACATGATTATACTTAATGATCCAATATCATTAAATCCATCTTAACATTTGCCTTATTGATGACTGACAATATTCTGTTGACTACAAAGACTTGCTTAAAAGAATATGGTTGTTAATGATCTGCGACTCTTGATGAAGTGTAAGTCCTCTAGGTATTTGGATTGGTGAGAGATTTCTTGTTTGACTTGATATTCTGGAAGTTCTATATAAAAGTAAAAGTAAAAGTTAACAATATGCCATTTTAGAGATTTTACGTGTGCTTATTTGTGCCGATATATTTGGGATGTATTCTGCACATAGAGAAGGAAAAATAATCAAACTCCTGAATGTAAAATCCCAGTAGTAGAATATGTGATGGTCTTTCTGATAAATATCATTCAATTAAATTTGATTTGATTTTTCCAAAAAAGTATACTTTCTTTTCTCAAATACTTAAGTGTTGAATTTTTGATTTCCTTGCCAATTTCTCTGAAGATTTAGATATTTCAAAATTTAGCATAATATTAAAAAATGCAAATTTTTCATCTTTCCTACAGAAAGGTATTCACATAGATTAGACTTATCATCAAGTGAGTAGCTGCCAGCCTTCTTTCATTAAAGAGGGATTATTAATCTTCAGGTGTGGGGTAACACAACCTTTGTTGCTGATGATGCTTTTGTTGTGTTCTTTGCATGATGGCTTTTACTAATCTTGGGTCTGTTCTTTCAGATTACAGATAATGATCTATTTTAAATCACATATTATGGATGATTTGCTTTAAAATACATATGAAAGTAAATCAACATTTTTGTCTAAAACATTCACAACTGCTAGTCAGTAAAGGAACATGTCTTTATCTGTATGTGAGAAAGGAGATAAAGTTACAACTAGTACACAGGGAATTTTGAGAGACCAACACCTTATTTATCTGTGGCATAACAGTAATCTGTAAAAAAAACTATGGGACTGTGTAACAGATGTGAACTTTTTACATTATGTATGTAGCTAAGAAATGAAGGTTGAGGATCATTAAAATACGATTTTTGCAGATTAGAAAACATATTGTGTTTTTCTGAAATAATGTCTGTGATGGCATATGTAGGCAGAACTAATTGAACAGCATTCTCAAAAAAAAATTTAAACCAAATAAGGGGAATTTAATAAATTCCAAATGCTATTTTTGCCTTTAGAAGCTGACTCTAATTACTTCAGTCCATTTCAAACCATTCTCTTGGAACCCAAGAAAATTCTTACAGAAACACAACTTTTAAGATTTTGGAGAACAGCAATTTGTTTTGATACTGATATTGGTAAATATCAAATTGAATGTTTAAAGGGGTTGAATCTGACAAATAGATATACATCAGGTATTCAAATAATGCCATTTGGTTCACTGTCATTTCATTATGACTTTGATGAGGAAAAAAATAATTGCTTCCTGTCAGGGGCCACTGTCTGTGTGGAGTTTAAATATTCTCCCTAAGTCTACATGGGGTTTCTTCATGTATCCTGTCCAGAGAGTAGGTTCAGGCCACCTGTAACCCTGAACTGCAATAAGCAGTTAAAAAGTAAGAGAATGAATGAATGAATGAATGAATGAATGAATAACGATTGTTGCTTAGTATTAGAAGTCTTCTTGACTTCTATATTTAGAAGTTTGGTGGTATTTTGTAACCAGAAATATGTCATTAGGAAATTTAACTCTTGTTTCTATCAATCAGTGTATGGTAAAATTGGTTTCATTATACATCCTTTCACTTAAAGTCACAATTTCCAAGAACCTATTGACAATGTTAAATGAGGACTTAACTGTAGTTATCCGGCACTGCACTTAAAAATAAAAAAATCTGAATGTCCTTAGGCAGAGATATACATTTATCATGTGCCAGACTCCTTGATATTGCAATACACTGCCCCATGTATCTTCTGTCTTTTAAGATCTGTTAAGTTATTTACCTATTTATTTTTAAGTTGGAAAGTCATTTTGACTGGTTGTCAAGGCCCTTAAGTCTGAGATTTCTAGAGGGACAATATATATATACATGCATTGTGTAGTTTGATGTCTTCCTCTGAGTATGGTGAGATAAAAGTCATTGCCTCTTCTCTCTAGGCTGATTGTTATTGATAAGTAGATGGTATGTATCTGTGTGTGTGTATATATTATATAGGTTGATATAGATTTATAAATTCATATATAATAGGCATTTAAACGTATATATTTCGTTAACATTTGTAACACTCACACACAAATACCTAAATATATATGATGAATAAGCAAATGACTATCACTCATACTTAAATGTGAGGGGTTTTTTTAATTAAAGGTAAGTTAATCATATCATTTTATCTCTATTTTAATATGTTAAATAAGTGGAAAATTTTAACTCCAGACATTTAGAATCTAGAGATCGTTTAATCTAATGGTAAGTCTCATGTGACTCTAAGCATTACTGCACTCAGCAATGAAGGCAGGCAAGGATAAAGAAGATTTGAAGAGTGAATTAATTTCAAGAAGTAGTAATACCTCTTCTAACGGAATCCTGTGAGATCTCATTAAAGATCTCTTAATAATTGCATATTAAAATATGAATAAAATTCATTAGAATACAAAGAATTAGCGTGAACACTAAATCTTCAGGAAACTGTAAACTAAAATACACAATGGGCTCATTATGTGAGCTAATCAACCCTGTAAATGATCAGAATAAGGAATGCAGCAAAGTTCAACTTGGATCTTATAGAAAAACCTGGGTAAAGATTGATAAATTTATTATGGAGTAAGGGGTAGAGAGGAGGGTGCCATGCATGTTTATTTCCAAAGTGTAATATAAAAAATAAATCTATGATCACATTTCCCTGACATATGAAGACTGAGTACTGTTTCCATGGGCCTGTCTCACATGGAAGTTGGTTTTGTAACCTCTATCCCTGTGAAATGTGCTCTAACATGCTGATGCCCTTCCAGCCCTTCCCCTCTGGGTTGTATCCAGTTACCTCAGCTTGAGCATAACCCAAAGAAGGATTCCACAGGTGACTGCCATGCACAAGACAGCATAGATGATTTCTCCTAGAAGCAAAATATTTTTCAAACATCATTGGATTATTGGTGAGAATAAATAATAAAATATTTATAGAGGATTGACTTTTAACTGACCATTGAAGGAGGAATGAAATCCACTAAGAGTGGTTTCCTTTGCATGTTTTCTTTTAGGCAGTGCAATGCTGTTGACACTAGACAGCATCAGATGATCTGAAAGAAAATATTGAAAATAAGATTGTAAACAAAGTACTTAAGGGCCATGCATTAACTTTACCCCATGAGCTGTTATTTTATTTTTTTAAAGGTTTATTTATTCATGCATACAAGATCCGGGATATAGGCCAGATGAGCAGGAGGGTGAGAGGATTCACCAGAAACAGAGTGGGGAACAGAACAGGCAGACTGACAAAATACACTGCTGAGGGGAGCAGCGCGAGAGACAGAAGAGGTCTGCCGTGCCATGTGGGATTCTCATCTGCTGGCAGGGATCAAACCCACACTGAAGAAGCTGCGGACAGCTTCACAGCGCAGCGCTCAACTGCCTGAGCCACCAGGGGAGGCCCTGAGTGGTTACTTTATAGGGCAACAATCTATATCTAGGACACTATTTAAATAAAATCAGATAGATTAGGGTAAAAATAAACACTTTTCTTATATTTTAATAGGTTTATTTTTATTTTTGATCAGATAACTTTCTTACAGAAACCTTTGTTTTTTCTTAAATTATAGAAAAAATTACATGTATAAGAAAGTCCATTGTGCCTTATGTAGAGAATGTAGACTAGGGAATAGAAGACAGTATCTTTAGGCTATTCACTGGGATATTGAAAAAAAATCCTTATTGACAAAATTGATTGTTTTAATATGCTTTTAATATGCTTTTCCCTAAGACCCTCTCTATATTTTTTTAAAGATTTGTTTATTCATTTTTGCATAGAACTGGGGAATAGGCCAGAGATGCAGGGGGAGTTGTGTGTGTCTGAGGATTCACCAGAGACACAGTGGGGAGCAGAACTGACAGATTTACTGAAATACACTGCTAAGGAGAGCAGCAGGAGAGACAGCAGAGGTCTGCCGTGCCGTATGTGGATTAGCTCCCTGGCTGGGGATCAAACTCAGGCATAGCAGTGATAGCACTGAGACATAACCCTAGGCCACCAGGGAGGCCCCAAGACCCTCTACATTTATGAATTATTGTAACAGAGTCCCTAAGCCAATCACTCTGCACAACCCTCCAATCAGATCCTTCAATATCTGGCCTTGCTTATTTCACCCGGTCTTTTTGAACTGTCTTGTTTCTATTGTTGTTACCTATTTTTGTCTCACTTAAAGGCTACTTTTGGCCCTTCTGTGACCATAGTCTTCTTGGTCATGTTTGGCTAAACACATTTCCACCTTACCTCACAATTCTCAAGACAAAAGATGTGACCCATAAAATGAATTGATAACTTCAGTTTACTTTTTTAAAACAATTTTCCCTCACCACCAACCCTATACCCCTTTATCCCTTTTTTCTTTCCCCTTCCTTATTAACCGCAGAAGCCTCCCTTCATGTGTTAATTAAGGTTGCTAATTTTTGTATGTATTTTGCTGTGCCAAATTATTACATAAATGTCTAAAATTTGTCACTGTGACTTGCTTTACTAAACACAATTTCCTCAGATTCCTTGCATTTTGTTGTAGATGGCAACATTTAGACTTTTCTTATGGATGAATAATATTCTATTATTTGGATGTACCATATCTTAATCCAATTCTTTATCAGCAGGAGCTTAGGTTGTTTCTTTATCCTAGTAAATAATCCTTCAATAAACACTGTAGAGAATATTTTTGTATTGATAGTATGGTGATGGTATCTTATTCCCTGGATAGTTGCCCAAAAATGGGATTGCAGGATCATACAGTATTTCCATTTTTAGTTTTATAAGGTAAATACAAATTGCTTTCCAAAATGGCGCTACCAGTTCACATTCCCATCAACACTGTAATAAGATTGTTCTTTCTCTACATCCTTTCTAGCACTCTTGTTGGAGGTCTTTTTAATATGTGCCATTGATGGCTGTAAAGTGATATATATCTGTGGTTTTGACCTGTATTTCCCTTTTTAAAAGACATAGTGAATAACATCCCATATATCTATTGGCCTTCTAAATATCCTCTTTTATGCACTGTTTAAATCTGCAGCTCATTAAAAAAAAAAAATTACTATTGTTATGGTGAATAAGATCTTTGTATGTCTTGGCTATTAAATCCTTGTCATCTTTCTACTGTGTGAATATATTCTCCGATTCAGTAGGATGTCCTTTTTTTAAAGATTTATTTATGCATACAAGAACTGGGGTGTAGGCCACAAGTGCGAGGGGGTGAGAGGATTCACCAGAGACAGAGTGGGGAACAGAACAGGCGGATTGACTGAAATACACTACTGAGGGGAGCAGTGGGCGAGACAGGAGAGGTCTACTGCGCCATGTGGGTAGCTCCCTGGCCGGCCAGGGATGGAATTCCTGCTGCAGAGGCTGTAGACAGCTTCACAGTGCTGTGCTAAACCCCCTGCACCACCAGGGAGGCCCAGTAGGATGTCTTTTTAATCTACTTACCTCTCACTTGTAAATGTTTTTTTTTTTTTATTTTGATGTAATCCTAATAGTTTATATTTGCTTTATTACTCTTGCCATAGGGGTTGTTTCCAAAACATCTTTACCATTGATATCATGAAAAAAATTTCCAGTGTTTTCTTCTATATATTATATTGTTGCAGGTATTATATCTAAGTCTGTAATCCATTTGGATTTTTTTTTTTTTTTGGTGCATGGAATTAGAGATCCAACTTCAATTTATTAAATATGGCTATCTATTTTTCCCAGTACCATTTGTTAAAAAGACACTCCCCATTGTGTGCTCATGGTTTCTTGATCATTAATTTTTGGTATATATGTGGACATATTTTTGGACTTTTTATTCTGTCCCATTGATCTAAGTGCCTATTTTTATGCAAATGCCATATTGATCTAATTACTGTCACTGTATAGCATAATTTAATGCTAGGTAATATGAATATTTCTCTCCTTTTCTCTCAGGATTGATGTAGCTATTCAAGGCCTTTTATGGTTTCATTTAAATTTTAGGTTTTTTGCTCTTTCTTTGTAGAACATGATTGGTATTCTAATGAGAATTGGGTTAAATTTATATGTTGCTTTTGGTAGAATAGTGTTAGGTTGTTTTGCTTCCACATTTGTTTTATGTTCTTCTGTCCTTTACTTTCATTTTGGGAGTTACAATTAGGGGTTTCCTTTGTTTCTTTTTTCTTATCTCAACAGATTGACAGATTGGCTTTATCCACCACTTACAGGAAGTTAGGTATTAGCCCCAGATGTTTTTTACCCAGGACTTTTACATATCTATTATTTCATAGACTGATACCTTTGTACCTATGTGGATGGCTGGGGTACTAATGTGGGTAGAGGGTAACAGGAAGGAACTAGAGCAGTAAGGTATGGAAAATTTGCTTCTAGTGAACATCAAAGGTTTAAGTTTCCCAGGGCCTCACGTACTGGATTGCGTGTCTCTCCCCTAGGCAAGCTCCTCAGCCAAAACACCTCAGTCTCTTGGCAGCCTCAACATCTTAACTATGGTTGAGCAATAGATGTAGACCTGAAGGATAACTAGAGTTGAGACAGTTTTCAGCTGCTTTTGGAACACAAAACCTTACCCTGGAGCATTTGCTCCAGAACAGGAACTTTAAACTCTGGCTGGGGGCAAGATCCCACTCTTGTTCTGTTTTTGGCCCTGGGTGGGAGTGGGGCAGGTGTTTTGCATATCAAAGCCAAAGGCTACAAATAACAGTCTCTTCCAGGAGGAGACAGATGTCTCTCTCTGTCTGTTTGGGCTCCAAATTTTCTAGTTTGAGAGGTATCGGCTCAAGGTGGTGATCACCACCATGCAGTGATGCTTCTATAGTTTTCAGTAGTACACTCGCTTCTCCACTCCAGTGCCCATTTTTAAATCCCCCAATGTGGACATGTGCTAGTATTCAGTTAACAACAACAGAGGGCTCAGTCCAGCTGTCGCCCATCCCCCTTGTGGGTTCTACTGCTCCAGTACCCCTCTAAACGATTAATTACAGTTTTTCCTACCTAGTCCACTGTGCCAATACACTTTTCTTTTTATTTAAAAAAAATTAAAATATCCACTTATTTTATGCATACAAGAGCTGGGGTACAGGCCAAAGGTGTGGGGGGTGAGAGGACACACCAGAGACAGAGCGGGGAACAGAACAGGCAGATTGACCAAAGTACACTTAATGTATGCAAGGTTTGTTGTGTTTGTTTAGCTGCAATTTAGTTGTGAATATACAAAGGAGATAAGCTGGCTTCTTTATTCTGATGCCATCCTGTACTCCTATTTTAAGTGACTTTTATATAACTCTGAAGAGAGGTTACACCTAATTTTGACTCAGTTCAACATAAATATGAAACCAGTCATACTAGGAGCCCAATAACCAATTTCTTTGATGACGATGATTTTGGTGGAGTTGAAATATAAAAGTGAAAAATGAAAATGTGATAAAAACTCCACTTTAGAGAGACTTTGTTGTCCTCTCTTACAGGTACCTTGGACATTTTGAGACCTGCAAATCTAAGTACCAGTAGACATATATTTTATAGATATGAGTGTATCAAATATTGGGATACTGTATCTGATGACAGGTAGTGACACTACGCTCTGCAGGAAGGAGAAAAGAGAAGCTCTATGACCAACAGCTGCTGCTTTTCAGAAGTCAGCTCCTTGCAATTCAGTGTTTGAGGTTTATATTAGGAATAATCAGCAGAAAGCACAGGAAAAAGACTGTTTCAGATCGGCAACAAAACTCTCAAGGGGCCAGGAGAAACAGCCCAATATAAAAACTAGAAAAGTAACTAAGGACTTTGTCATTAGAAACCTATTCTCAAGGAGTCTGAACTCTAATGCAGCCAAAACATTTTTTTGTGTGTGAGATTTTTTAAATCCCCAGCTCATATATTGGGTTATCAAATATTTATAGAAGTCTGACCTCCTTTGGAACTTAGGAAAAATCAACTTCTTCTAAATATAAAAGTAATACAGGAAGAGCCTGTGAATTTTTTTTTCTCTTTTACGATTATAAAATAAAATTTGCTATTCACTATAAAGTTGGAATGGAAAAATTGAGCTATTTCAAATAATACCATTTT